ACACAGTGAGGAAGTGTTTTCTTATGTCCAGATGGAGTTTTCTGTGTTTCAGTTTGTGCCCATGGCCTCTTGTCCTGTCACTGGGCACCACTGAGAAGAGTCTGGCTCCAGCTTCTGACCATAGACTATTAATATTCAGCTCTGCTACAGGCTTCATGCACCATGAACCTTAGAGTATATTAGGTTAAACTGATTTCTCCTTTGCAAAGAGTTACCTGAATTATTTATGTGTATCTAGATAACAGGAAGGTTTCAATAAAGGGACCTGTATTGCCAGATCTTGGTTGTTTAATTCCTGATATAAAAACTGCTGTGATACTGTAACTGGTACCTTACAGACTCTGTGAGAGGCAGGAACTGTGAGAGTGACGCAGTGGTTAGGATGGAGCTCAGGTTTCTGCTTTGCCACAGGAGAGCATATTACCTGCACGCTCTTGTGATCCACCCTGCTGCTGAATTGCAGGGTTTTTTAAAATGATAACCCTTGGATTATATGCATGAAAATGTGGTTCTGTCTTCCTGGGGTGAGAACGAGCTCTCTGTGAGGCTCTCAGATCCTGCTGTAATGAAGGCCGTGGGAATCTCTTAACAAGGTAGACACAAGAAAGCATAACAAAACCCAACCGGAGCAAGAACTGCAGAGTGTAACCGGTCATGAAATTGGAGGTAAACTAGCCCATTCCTCAGAAGACTGCAGGGTGATTTGATTAAAGCAAAACAAGAGTTCTTCACAAACTCATCTGAACGATAGTTTGACCTATCAGTCCCCTGCCCTTACCTCAAAAGTTATGCAAGAGCCCATTCTAGGGGTGTACATGAGATTTGACATGAGGACATGCAAATGCAGTGTCATTTTTCCACAGGCACAGCTAAAAGCTGAGCGTACTGGCGTGGCCAAGAACAGAGGGAAAAGCTGTGCCTTTTTCTTCGATAGTGTGAAATAGCCTTTGGAGCTAGTCCGATGGAACGAATTCCAGCTGGTGAGGGTGGGAGGGGAGGGCGAGGAGAGGCGTATGAATAGAGAAAGGACCATGGTTTTGTTGGCCTTGGCGTTCTCTGTTTTCTAGGGCAGAGCTGCCTGTGCCAGCTTGTCATAGCTGCATTGCTGAGCTGTCTTGCGTTATAATGTTTATATTTATTGCCTTTTTTCTTGTAGTACTTTTCTGAATATTTTAATGTTCACTTCTTTCCACTGGTCATCTTCCCTCTGTTATCTCATTGTAATAAAATCCTAACTATGCCAATCACAAAAGATCCTGAATGGAGGAATTAATGCTTTTTTCAGGAGGTTCCTTTTTTTAGTCTTTTTTAAAGGCATCTCTTTTTTTAAAAAATGAAAGATGAAGCATTTTCTTTTATCCTTAAACTTCACTGTCACGTTTTATTAAGTCAAAATGAGAGTTACAGTCAGAGGAAAGCAGGATATGTATTCCTGGTGCAGCCATTTTTAAAGTGTGCTTTGTTTTAAAGCCTTGAAGATTGATTGAAGGTATTTTTCTTTTAGACATGGAGCTTTAGTCAAAGGGGGCCTGATCTGAGTTACCCTCTGTAAATCAGGATTAGTTCCCGGGAAATCAATGGAGTTACAATGATACAATGCAGGGTGAGTTGGAAAAGACTCATGCCCCCAGAATGAATGAGGGAGGGACTGTGGGTGATCCCCTGAATGCTGCACTTGTGCAAGAGGGTGAAGCCACGAGGCAAAGCAGAGTTGTACGCTACCCCTATCAGGCTGCGCTGGAAGGGCCTGGGTGAGGAATGGGCATGTGGCAGCGGGTTTGTGCTCGTATGGATGGTGTGGCTGCAAATCTCCGCTGAGGTGATGCATTTAGCATGCAGATTGCCTTTACCCAGAAGGATCAGCTCTTTCCTTCCAGTGCCACCAGTTGCAGTCGGGGAGGCGCATGAGCTAAGAGACCCTGATTTAGGAGACAAGAGGGTGGTGGCAGAAGTGGTGCTCTACAAAATCTTTCTCTGGAGCATGTGTCACTGGATCCAACGGAGCCTGAACGTGCTGACCTTTTTGGCACAGGGCCAGAGGGATTCATTGTGTGGGAGAGGCCCCCATTAAAGGGCCTGGGTACTGTGCGGAGGAGCAGGGGACCTGCTTGCAGGAGGGAGCAGTCACATAAACTTGGACAGATAATCTTACTGGGTGTTTTTATCCTTTTTTTAATGTGTCTGCATTTTGGGGGGAAAAATAGCTAAGGTGGTAAAGATACATCAAGATGAGTAAATAAAGAACTGAAACAGTATGTCCTATCTGGGATTTGAGTTTAACTGGGGATTTGAGCTCTTGTCTCTCATCTGTACTGAAGCCTTGACAGCTGATTTCTTGAGCCCTAAGCCATTTTGAGCAGAGACAGTCTAATAAGAACAGCTCTTTTTATAGCATTTAAACTGTGTCTGAATGGCTTAACGCTAGGGCAAGTTCCAGCAGTGCAAACCACAGCTAGCCTGCTCCGTGCAGTGTTTTAGCAGTCCAGACAGGGCAGACTGATCCTAAGCACTGCTCATATTCCAGGTCTCACAGTGCAAATCAACATCTGGGGCAAAACCGGAGGCTTGAGTTTGGCTATTAAAAAATTTCCACTTCATAACTAGCTGCCAAACTCTTCCAGGCAGTTACTAGTTTGCTTTTGGTATACAACTGATCTCCTCTTGCACATGGTGCTTTTCCATATTTGGAGTATATATTTTTCTGGAAATATTTTCTGGAAGTTGCAGCAGCTGGGAATAGCATTTACTTACTTAGGGCTTTTTAAAAGTCATTGGGAAGAAAATGACCCAGGCAGCCTGGGAAGGGGCAGCTTGAAGAGGTAACCTTTTGCAGTGCTGTTTGCTACCTGACTCTTGTTCAGCTGATGCTGTAGGGCTCTGATTTCTGTCTCCCTTGATCAAGCTGGCATTACCCACTGGAGTCAATGGGTCTCAGTTCAGAGCTCTACGTGACACTGCTTTTGTTTAATTTTTCAGCGCATGAGAACTCCATGGATTGGATGGACTCAGAGGAAGGAAGTAGGGGAGATAGGGGAGGATCCACATTTTTTTATGTTGTTTCTTTTTCATCTTTGTCTTGTATGTTATTTTCCACTTCACATCAGTTTTGAAACCATGATTTTTGTGCACACTTTGGATTTCTCTGCAATGATAAACCTGAATTTTAATAAAGAGGATGGAACTTTGCCCCAAGTACTGGTTACAGCTTTCTAAGGAACGCACAAGTCTGTTGAACTGTGGTAAAATCGCCCAGGGAAGGTGGCAGAAATCCAGCGACTTGGCACCTTTTACGACTAGTCCAGACAAAACACTAGTAAATGTACAATAAGGAACACTGCTTTGGCAGAGAATGGGCTGCGGGACACGATGAGGCTTTCCTGTATGCAGCTTTTTGTGGTGCCATGACCCCGATGAATGTGAAACTTGGAGTTACTCTTCTGCTGATTCTAGACCCCATCGGGTCTCAGAGGAGCGTTGGAGGCCTGCATGAGAAGCCCTACCATGTGCACCATCACCTGGTAATTAGAGAATTTCATTCACCTGACTTGAGATCGTTGTTTGGATAATTAGTACAGGAGAATGGCCGTATTAACTCAGATCAAACGTCTGTCTAGATTAGTACCTTATTTCCAGCATTAGCCGGTAACAGATGCATTGGGAAGAGGATAGCATGGATATACTTGGCTGTCTCTTCAAGTTTCTGGCAAGGTTATCTGGCAGTGAAGAAGTCCCTTTTGACTCTTGTGTGTTTCCCAACAACAGCTATCTCCTATCTAAGGAAAGCTTGTTTTTGCCTCTCCTGGAACTGTGAATCCGAGAGCTAAGCAAAATGCATCTCCCTAGGGTTCACATGGGTGCTGTACTTAGCTCCTGGATCTATAATGAAAAAAATTGTCAGGTAAACCAGTGGCTGAAAACATAATCTGATGCTTCATCATCAATAATTGCCATTATAATGTGATTTGCACATCCCCTGTCATCGGAGACGCCATGGTACCCATTTATGCATGCCCAGCAGTGTGCTTGTACGTAATGACTAAAGGCCTTGCTGGCCTTAGCTTTGAATGATTTCACATCTCTTACTTCTGCCAGTCCCACTTTTTAATTTAGCTTGATATTTGCCATGTGTAAAAAAGAACCCTTCTTAGCAAAGTGCTGTAGAACCTGCTCAGGAGATTAGGAGGGGGATTTTTACAAAGCCCTGGATAAAATATGCATTTAAGGGGGCGGGGGGACTGGAAAAATGTGAAAGGCTGTATTCTCTCATTCTCACTAGTTGGGAAAAAAAGACCTGAGACCTCCCCAAATCCTAAATGCCACCTCACTGTTATTTTCGGTCACCAGCCTGTAGCCGCTGCTGAGAATGCACGTAATAGATGCACTGGCAGTTCATCTTTATACTAGTGTTTAAAATCCCAGAAAAATAGAGATAAGAATAAAACACAGAATCCATCTTTCAAGCCAGCTGTTTCCCGTAGCCCTGTAAGCAGTGCATGATTGCTCCTGTGATGTCTGAATACCTTTGGAAACTTCTTCAGGCTCCACGATGTTCCAATATTGTCTCATGCTGGGGTTTACTCCATGCCATGAGTCTGTCGCTGCTCATTGGTGCCTCATGTCATCAGCCCTCAGCCTGGCCAGTACAGCTCTCTGAGCATATCTTAGGGACTCCAAATAAAAATATAGAGATATCGGGCACTGAAGGAGTTGACTGTTACACTACCTTCATGAATCACTACACCTATAGGAACTGAAAATCTCGTTAATGGATGAAGTTAATCAGAATCAGCTTTATCACTAGATAAGATTTAAGTGTAGAAGACTGTTTGAAAACACACATTTGCAATAATTGAGCAAAGTTACAACAGGAAAATACAACATGCATATCATTAAGATTACATTTGGCAATGCAGATTTTCCTAAGCTGCAACATCTTGGGGAGCTTGTGGCACTGGCTAATTAATCTTCCATGTCCTTCCTCAGGCCTAGTAGGCTCTGGGGAGTTCTTAGAGCTATATCTTTTCTGTTTCTTTTGTTAAAAACAGCTTGTGTAGAAAAGCCATGACGTGCCCCTCTCCTAGCTTGAGAGGGAGTGCTGCTCCTCTTTAGCTGTGCCCTGTTTCTTGTGACTGGGAACTACAGCATCCCATGATAATGCAGCCAATAGACTCATTTCTCACCATTTCCCCCATTAAGCTCTTTCAATTTTTATTTTACACCTTAATTAGCACTTTCCTGGCAACACCTTTAAATTGTTCTTATTTCAAGACATTTAAAAAGGCAGTACTGAAATGTATAAATCTCCTATTAGAACAGCGTTCATCACACGTGTTCTAGCGATGGCTGGAGTTGGCCTACACTCGGTAATCTCTTGAATGTAACATGACTGTTAAACATGAACACATTGTGGAACTGAGGAGTAAGGCGTCCACACTGGAAGACATATTTACATCTGGAGTATTTGCAGATCTCTTATCCGTTGTCAGCGCTGGGCGTTGTGCACCAGGTACTGTGTAAGGAAACACAGCCAGAAATACACAAAGAGCTTTAGGGAGCTGTACGCTTCAGTTCTTTTTGAAGTTAGCAGCCCAAATACAGTCGTAAATTGACTCATTCTTTTAAGGTGTTGTTTGTGGAATATTGTCATGTGTACTCAGCACAAGTGGGGTTGGGGTGAAAGAGGAACCTCCACCCTTCTGTGCCCATGTTGCATGCTTTGGATAAGCATTCATCTTTCTGAAAGTGGAATTATTTTTATTGCAGGTATCCTCCCTGGGCCTACCTTGGAAGCTAGATCTGCAGCCGCCCTTCAGTCATGGTTGTTTCAAGATTAAAGGCCATTTCCCTGTCATTGCCAAGCCTTTTTCTTCTTGCTTTTCATCTCTCAGCATCACAGAATGTACCTGAATACTCTGAAGCTGAACATCAGCAATGTGTCAGGAAAGAACACCCCACAATTGCTTTTGAAGGTAAGAGCTTCTGTTCCTGTTTCAAGTTCCAGTAGGATGATCCATTTTGAAGTCCTTCTTGGTGTTGTTATGGATGATGGTTTAGTCTGCACTGTTTTCCTTAAACCAATGATTCACAGGCAAGTGGTCTGTTGAATCGTATTCACTTTGATGCCTTGCAGTGATTTCACCATGTGGTTTCACAGCAGTCACTTAATGCAGTTAATTTAGGGACTGCTTGTCTAAGAATCTCCATTTCCAATGGAGGCTATCTGTAATCTTGCGCCACCCTGAAACTGTGTTTCAGTTACTTTTTCCCTAAATGGATTCAGTAATGCTCATATACCTCACATGGCTGTCCAGACCTGGATACGTAATAAACGAAGACTGGTAAAGCATTTGGACGTATCTGAATGTGAGAGAAATAAACCATTTTGAAATTGCGGTGTGTGGCTGCCTTTTTGTTTGTTGCTTCTTCTGTATGTACTTATCACCTCTGCCATTAATTTCTCTGTCTTTGATCTGGGCACTGAACTTGACAAGGTTTTAAGAATGTAAGAGGGGACCTTTATACTGCAGTGTCCTGCCATACCACACACAAAAACGTGGGGAGTCCTTTTTCTGTTTGTCCACAACATGGGATTTCCCATATTCTTATCCTTGTTGGATTTTCCATGGGTGTTTGTGTGCCCCTAGGATGCTGTCTGTCTGATCAGTCCACTTACCCGCGCTACACTTAGATCATGATGGAGGCATCAACATTATTGCTAAATTCACCCCCATCTAGTATATTAAGCTCGGTATGCCCGCAACATCAGTTGAGTCTCCTTGCTAAAAATGGTTTCCTCCTAAATGTTGAACTATTGATTTTAGTTCCCATTTAGGGCCTTGCAATGCATATCTAGTTACATTCTTTGCTAAAGAAATTGCCTTTGCTAAAGGCAATTAAATACCTTGCCATGTGTCTCAGGTTAGGTTCTTTGCTAAAGGCAATTAAATAAGGGTTTTGTGACCTTTGAGATAGGGTTTCCAGGAAGAAAGCAGTCAAAGGGTTCCCTGCTGACCTTTCAGGGTTCTTCTAAAGAGTTTTACTCTTCCTCAGAGAGGAGGAAACTATTGTCTCTTCATTTGGAAAGTGTAAGAGGTTTCTTGTCTGTTTTCCATTATCTATGCTTTAAAGGTTTAAGTGGATTAAAGCAAATTAGCAGAATCTTTAAGCCTACGTAGCATGGTACTGGCTCTAACCTTGTTCCAGTGGAATGGGTAAATAAACTTCGATTTTAATTGCTTAACAAGTCTGACCATATGTTTTACTAGGGAGGGGTGAAAGGAGAAACCCTTGTGGTTAAAAACGTGTTGGAACTCCATTGGCTATTTAAAAACATAATACAGTAATGAGCATGTTATAGATATAGAAAGGGGAAAATGTATGCGCTCTTCATATTAACCAGGAGGCACCAAATTTTGAGCTTGCAGAGGACATGTTTGTAGGATCCGACACTAGAGATATCATTCTGCAGGGAATATCGGAGCCCTGAATCCTGATCCTCAGGGAGAGGTGTGCATTTCTAGCACTCAGTGTGAGTCATATAGTGCTTCTCCACAGAAGGGACGGCCATGTAAAGACGCTCATAATCTGCCAGTTGGCTTTGTATTAATCGGGCATGGAAGATTCCCAGAAAAAAATAAGTCTGTCCTCCCCTTTCACTGCTCTTGCTCCCTTCCCTCCTTTCATGATAAAGGGCAAAAACTGCTGGGAGTTAATTAGAGCCTAACAGTTATACAAAAGAAATAAAGAAGGAAATTGCAGACACGTCAAGCAAATGTCTCAGATTATCCCTTGGATCTCTTAAACCCAAGTTAGATTCATGGTTATTGTTTGTTTTTGGCACCTGTTTCCGCATGATTGTTCAAGATACAGTTTAATCCTATCTCCTCTGCTGCAAGGCCCTGCTGGATATGAAATTAAAGGCACTTCATTCCCACTGCCCACAGTGTTCAAATGCTATAGAAGAGGGCTCACACCTCTGAAAACTCATCTGAGTTCATAATTTAATTTTACCTTGAAGCTATATCCTGTTCTGACCCCAGCACAAGAAGGTTCAGGCTGCGAGGGGAGCCAAGCAGGGAAATCTGCATCTTATCTGCTCTTAGAAATTGCCCTGGGGAGGTGTCTGCACTCAGCAGTGTCTCCTTGCAGGTCTCCAAGCACACTGTCCCATGGATCACAACCTGCTGTGCAGCGATGGTGTAGAGCCAGCAGCTGACAGTGTGACCCTCCCGGTAGCTCTGTGGATGCTCCCACTGCCAGGGGAGAGGATTATATTACACCAGGAATTTTCAGTGGTCGAGCAGTAATAATAAGAAAGACCTCAGACCATTCAGTCATACAGGATGCATTAAATTACTGCTAGATTAAACAGACTAACAAAACAATATATGTTACAAAGGGGTTGAATAGCTTCTTCTTGTTCACAGCCTTGCTGGCCAGGCTTCTAGCTGCAAGGCAAAGGGGATGCTGGTAACATGCTTCTTCAGTCTTCAGTTCCCGCCTTGCTTATGCCCAGCTTCTTTTTTATTGTGCTTTTGCTTCTGGATTACAATATTATTAATTTCCAGTTGCCTAGATGTTAATGTTGTGGAAGAATCCAAGTGAAGCTTGTTTTTGTCCACTTTTTAGCTTCTTTTCTGAGAAATTCTGTATTTGCTATACCTCATCTCTTGTTTGCAGTATCCCATCCACACTAGTCAAGGGCCCGATTGAATTGACATTGCTTTTTATTGCTATGGGAGGGATAAGAAAGAGGGAGAATACATTACATGACCTGCTCATTTAAGCAAAATGCAATCTGCATGTGAAAAATGATGCTACTTTAGCTGTGTGCAGACCTGCAGAAATGACTGTTTCCTTACAGAGTCCATTCCCCAGCCACCTGCCATTACCTGTGACCTAGAGAAAAAGTTCTCAGAAAGTCAAGAGACCTAAGTGTGCCTTTTTTACATGTTCAAGCTCAAAGCTTGTGCTACCAGGAGAGACAGGGGCTGGGAATGGGCTGTGGGCTGAATGATTTGTCCTAGCAGACTCCACAGAGCCTGTGGGCGACAGGTTAGGAATTTGTGCTGGAAGCTCTGTTGGGCATGTTCGTACAGCACGAACACAACGGTGCCCCAATTTCCCTGGGGCTGGGAAGTGCTGCTCGTAGTATAGTTCACCAACAATAATAAGGTACCCAGTTTTTCCCTTTCCTAATTAGATTATTCTACTCTGTGCATATAGAAACGCCATTTAAAGTTTGATTTCCCTTGTTAGATCAATGAGAAAATGATCTTTCAGTTCCCAGGAACCTGTTTCTGTGTCTTATTACCTGTTTGACTGCGAGGGGGTAGCTACACTTAGGATCTTGCATACTTGTTTGTTCTTCAATGAGCTGAGAAATTGTTGAAACAAGTCAGGTGTATTCTTAGTGCAACCTTTTTTATTTATACATGCACACACACAGGCATACAAGTCCCATTTCACTAAACAGTGTGTCAGTACAGCACAGCTCCAGCTCAGAAATTCACATATGGGCCACTTTGGTAAGCCAGACACCTGAGGAACTCTCTCTGGTTCCTGTCAGTCATGCTCGTATGCTAACTTTCTTGTCTTTTCCACATATATCTTGTAAGCAATAGATCAGTCCCGGCATTTGCAACTGGGCTGTGCGCTTGCCACGCTGTCGTGTTTCTCCAGCAGTAGCCTTCACTGTAGGCAGCTGTTTCTCAGACATGAAGCAGCTTTGTGACTCATTAAAAACATCTGGAGTGCCCTTTGCAACATGTCCCTCAGGAGCAGCCAGAAACAACTTCTGCCATAGCAAGACTATGTAAGATTTGGTTTTTTTCAGGAGCCGGAGCCATGACTGCCGTATGCACGTATGTCCGTAATGGGTGGAGTGGGGAGTGTTTGGTTTGAGCTTGTTTACCAAGGAAGTGCTTAGAAGTTTGCAAACTCATCTGCGTTACACCAATCGCTTGGAAGCTCACGACTTAGCTGGAAATGAGTTGTACACAGGTTTTCACTTGCAATTTCTGCAATTATTATTTCTCATTAGTTCTATCCATTAAATTGCTATGCTTAGTAAAAAGTATGGTAGACTCCCCGGGTCCTTCTCTGCTCTGGCTGCCAGTGCGTTCTCCCCTGGGTCATGGCAGTTAGCGTGAGCTGAAAGAATATCATTTGTGCTCCCCTGCTTTAATATTTGCGGCCTTTCTTTGTCCTCAGAAGCACCTTGGCTGGTCTCATGCTGAAGCACAGGAGAGAGGCAGACTTGGTTAAATGCTTATATCCTGGGTCTTCCCAGGACCGCATATTACAGCTTTGCAGACTGTCTCATAAGTGCTGGTGTGAGCTCTGGGCATGCAGCATTCGACCCACTGCCTGGTGCTCCCTCTCTCCTAAATGCAGACAGGGTGCTCTGCCTGTTACCTCAGATTTTAAAATGAATTGGTTTGGTAGGATTTAGATCTGGGATTTTACTTCAGACTCTCCGTAATTATTACCTCCTACAAGATGAATGTGATTCAGGTTGCTTGAGTGTAGCTTGCTGTATATTTTCTCAATATTTTTTTTCTTTAAACAGCATTTTATTGAAACCTGGCCAGCTTTGAACACTGAGATCTGTGGGGAGCAGTTAAGTGTTTGCTTGTTGTATTGAAAGCAAAAGCTGTTTTAACTTTGTGGGCTGAAGGATAATGGGATATGATTTATTTCTTTTGAACGTTCCTGACATTTTACCAAACACCCCCACTATTGTTGAATTGGTCACTAATACATTATTCCTTTTACTGTACATTGATGGAAAAAAAGCACATTAGCATCCATCAACTCCAAAATCCAGCTAGGAAAGGCCCTTAGGAAATTTTGATAAAGATTTATACTTTTCTTGAGCAAGTGAGATTTTGACAATCCAACCCGAAACTTTAGTTAACAGAGGATGAAGGTTATGGGGTGAAGTCTGAGAAGTATATCTGGATAAACT